GAAAATGGCTTTTTTTCAAATAATTGACTAACACTCGATAAGATCAATCTACTTTAGATTAATTCATGTGTTTTAACAGACTTCTGCAAAACTTGCAAAAGTAATTCAATCACTGAATCAGGTGTGTTAGAACTGGGAAACAAGTAAAACATGCAACACGGTGGCCCTCAATGACTAGGATTGCCTCATCTATACTGGGTGTATTTCAACAAACTGGAAATAGGCATGGACTTTTCTAGACCACAAATGCATTGCAGTATACTAACACTGAGCATGCACATCATTATCATTAAAAAGGTCATTGGACCAAGTTTTAGAACCAAGTTAAAAGAATAAAATGAATTTCTGTGTGTCAATGAAAAAAATCAATAACCCAAATGAATGATTGAAATGCTTTTCTGTTACATTTCAGGCTGCGTGACCTCAGTGAAGGTAAAAAAAAAGTGCTGCTTTCCTCAAATTTTCCTCAAAAATACAAAAAAATTGGTTGGTGTTTCTGCCTGGCATCATCTTAGATTACTCTGTCTTCTCTTTCCAGGGATCTTTCCTCAGGATGAGGAAGAGGAGGTCTCCACAGATGAAGATGATGATATGTTTGGCAGCAGAAAGAGGATGAAGAGATCAGCTCGTAAAGACACTGATGAGGAAGAGGCGCCAGCAGGAAAGAAGAGGAAAGAGGAGCCAGGTATGGAGTTTATTTGGTTTGTTTCAATTGGCTTTGATGGGTGGACTGGACAAACAGTGAGGATTCATGATTTCCCAGATAAGGAAAATTCCAGCAGTCATTGAAATGGACATTAAAAAAAAGATAGCTGTAAAACACAAAATGTCACTGACTTTAATAGTTTAGGTTTTTCATATTTGGTGTGCACAATGACCGTTTTGGTTACAGCTGACTCCTGAAGCCTCCTGTTGTTGCCTGTGACCATCAACTTGGGTGATATTGTTGCTATCCCTCGTTGAATGAAAGAAAAACCCACAATGGTCACAGAAATAGCTAGAGTCTGAC